GGCCCATCGATCCAGCCTGTCCAGGTCCCTCTGCAGAGCCTTCCTACCCTCGAGCAGATCAACACTGCCGCCCAACTTGGTGTCGTCTGCAAAGTTACTGAGGGTGCACTCCATCCCCTCATCCAGGTCATTGATAAAGTTATTGAACAAGACCAGCCCCAAAACTGAGCCCTGGGGAACACCACTCACATGTTAGCATAAAAAGCAAAGGGCAAGCTCACATCAAAATCTGGAGTTTCTGAAGGGCTGCTAAGCTGAATCAAATCTAGAGTTTTCCAATAGGAAACAATAGGACACGAGGAAATGGAATGAAGCTGTGTCAGGGGAAGTTCAGGTTGGACATTAGGAAAAGGTTCTTCACTGAGAGAGTGGTTGGTCACTGGAACAGGCTCCCCAGGGAAGTGGTCATGGCACCAAGCCTGTCAGAGTTCAAGGAGTGTCTGGATGATGCTTTTAGTCATATGGTTTAGTTTTAGGTAGTTCTGCGAGGAGCAGGGAGTTGGACTTGATGATCCTTATGGGTCCCTTCCAACTTGAGACATCCTATGATTCTATGCATAGTGACACCCCTTGGCCTGAACTCCAGTTTCGTATCAGAAATAGGGCAGCCTTCCTCCATAAATTCAATGTAGCCTCAGCGGGCTGGACAGGTCTGTCAAAACAGTTCATAAAAGTAATTGTGAATCACTAGTATCATTAAGATATACAATTTGGGGTCTTACCTGAATACAGAAGTGAAAGAGAGGATTTTACTAAAAAAGGTACAAAAAAAGAACAGAACTTCCAAAAAAAGCATTCTACTTTTGAAGAGCTGTGAGGTGTTTTGAGGAACACCTGAATTAACCCTTGTTTCGATGAGTTTTTGTGTAAAGTTCACCTGTTCCTATTTTGTTTCTGCTGTCCCCCCAGCTCATGTGCTCCTCAGTCCAGAAAGCCCTATTTGAGGAGGAGGACAGAGTGAAGAAGCTGCAGCAGAAGGTGGCGACACTGGAGAAGCGTAACAAACAGCTGCGAGATCGGGTGAAGAAAGTCAAGAGGTCTCTCCGGCAAGCCAGGAAGAACACCCGGCACATGGAGCAGATGAACCGAAAGCTCAGCGAGAAACTTTCCTCTGCAGGTGGTCAAATCCCCTATATTAACTCTTTGAAGCAGGAGAACTCCCATGCTACCTACCTTAAAGTATAATGCAAGGGTAAGTGCTCAGGCCAATGAGAATGGTGAATTTTGCCTGCGTTAGATCAGGATCTGGCCCTCACACCTTGTCTACACTGTGCTTCAAACCTTGCATCGAAAATGAATCTGAACTTGCTTTAGACAGTGCTAGATTAAACAGGAATGCAAACTGTGTTTGGATGGGTGTTGGAGGCACAGCCCAAAGCCATGTCCTCACTGTCCTCGGTGGACATAAGGCCAGACTGTAATCTGTGCTCCTCAGCCCTTACCCCGCCTCACCCTCATCACCAATTTTAGGTTACCTTTGATGAAAGTGGCAGTTCAGCCCCATGGGCCATTGCAGGCACTTGACACAGGAGCTCTTCTTGGAAGGATCTGGTGCCAACTTACCACCTCCACATGGGCTGGGCAAGCAAGGCTGGGGGGGGATATGTGGAGATGGATGCTGTAGGAAGGATGCAGGCATGAATGCTCTTTGCTCCATCGTCACCCCCAAGCCCTCATCCTCCCTTAAGCTTTACTAAAGTCTACAAAGAGTGTCTGAGCAAAGGCTATGTCCGGGAAGCATAGTCAGTTTGGGCCCCTCTTCAAAGTGAAGTATAGATGTTCCCAGATTGTCTTAAGACTGTTTCTAAATATCCCTAAATATTCTAGATAAAATATCTAATATTTTTTATTTTACCAGGAAGTGCCTCAAGGGTCACAGTAACTCCCTCAGGTGCCTTCAGCGTTGCCCAGCCAAAAGGGTTGGAAACCACATCATTTTGGGACTGTGTCTAGGACCTAATCCAGCTCCTGCAGTCAGGATTGGACTTAGCCTGAGTATTAATGGGTGCTGGGTCAGGCCTGGAAGACAATTTCAGATCCCGTTTTCACGCAGGTTTAATTTACAGTGTGGACAAGGCTTCAAGTTTTGTTATCACTGTTTGAGGTAAAATGGAGGTTGCTGGGCAGCCTCACTTAATTACACTTAGATACTGTAGAGACCACATCAATATCAACAGGGCATTAAAAATTAAGGTAGTTTATATATGTATATATTTTAAAATCCTATAGAAAATATTTTTATTACACATTTGATATAGTCTAATTTCTTAAAATATGAAGTAAATCCCATTTCTTGGTTATCTCATTAAAAAAAGGTCCATCATGTCTTTTATCACACATTACAAACTGACTTCTGCTCAAGCAGCATAGGTTAAGGCAGTATCCATGGCTGATAACATTTTCAGCTGTATTAATGTACCAGAGCACATCTTGGATCTTGGTACTCAACGAACCTTCCTTCATAACAAGGGCACCATAAGGAGAGAAAAGTGGAAGAAGAGTTTTTGTGTTTTTCTTCCCTTCTCAAAATAGCTTTTCTTACTCCAAGCATGAGACCCAAGTGCAGATATGCTTCATGCTTTTTGACAGGGGCACCTGGCCCTTGCCCAGCCCCAGGCAACACTGACAATTTGCCAGGGCTAAACCCGGTTTGTACAAGGTGGACCAATCCAGATGATCTCTAACATAGAGGGGAGGCCCTCAGAAATAACAGTGTGCAAACCACCGCTCTGCTCCTAACTCTCTACACTTTACCAGATCACTGCATGGTCTCCATGCTGTGTCTCAGCACTCAAAATTAGAGTATATCCAGGCTACAGCCCTGTTGGACCACGCTTTAACTGTCCCTGTGCTAGGAAAAGCCCATATCAGCTTTCAACCATGAGCTTCAGTCCAAGCTGAACTCAGAAGTTAAGCTTTGTGTTGGCTTCTAGGATGCCGCTGAGTTTAATTACCTTCCAGTTTTGCTCCTTTTGGAAATAGAGCTCTTTTTTTTTTTTTCCCTCCCCCCTCTTGAAAAAATATTGGCATTTCTTAAGATTCTGACTCCTCCACAAGCTCCACTGGTTTCAAAGGCTTTTGCCTGCCGAATCAGCACAATTTGAGTTGTTTTGTGCTGTAGTCAGCAATGCTGTTTCCTGAGAATTACTACAGACCTAAGGCTTCCCTAGAAGCCATCAAGAGATTTTAACTTCAAAACCTAAATCCATAGGAAAGTAACTAATTTTGGGGGGTTTGTTTCTCATTTCTAAACTGCTGTTTAAATAAATGAACTGTTTTTCCTGGTATAGGTATTAAAAGCTTGTGTTTTAATTTTTTGTTAATAAAAATATTCCCTCTGTTATTCATTCATGTTTTATAAATGTTTGTATAAAACTGAGAAAGTATAGTTAATATAGATACATCTTTGCTATTCTTACAAATTTTCCAAACACAGTGTTGAAAAACTTTCCTTTTTGGCTGATATTTTTGTATCTTGATGAAAAGATTGGAATTTTCTTCCTATTTCCCCCTTTCTCTAGCTTAAAAAAAGAAGTAAACCATTTTGTTCTCCTTGTTGGTTTTGTGAGCATTTTGTTATTTTGCAAAGAAAACAAAACCAAAACCCCCAAATGCAAAATCCAAATGCAACCCAAAATGTCCCTTCTGGGTACAAAACCAAAAAAAGTTGCTTCCTTGTGAGTTTTTTTCCTTTCATT